GCGAAGGGACACCTGGCAAGGATGCGGAAGGAGAGGGCGTTGCTAAAGACACGCGTGCGATATGGGATGGGATGGCACATGACCGTCCGTGCCCTCATAGAAAGAGCTTCGGATATGTTCGTTGTTTGTCACACCCGTGCAATGCAAACGATATCTCGACACCGTGCACCTTGTCGCGGCCATTCCATGGCCAACACCATGGCTCGAGGAGGCGGACTACCCCTGAAGTCAAGAGTCGCTGCGCTACACATCCGGGACCTGCCCCATTGTTAAGTACGCAGTGCTGCAATACTATTCCTGTGCGCGTGGCGTTTGTGGGTATCACTATGCATGTTAAAAAAAAACAAGTGTATCTATATATATATATATGTGTATGTGTGTGTTCCTGCTGGTGCTACATACTGGACTTGATCATATGTCAATCCTGTGGTTTGGGGGGGGGGGCCCTGTTTTATATCAAAAACGGCAAGCTTTTTTATTTCAGCCATGCGGGCAATCGTCCCCGCTTTCGGCCGCGGGCGGGGTGGAGGTGGAAACAATCTGCTCGGCGCCGCCCTTCGAGTGGCGCGGACTGGCTGCATGGCCCTCGCTGCTAGCACTCGACTCCACGGGAAACCCTGCGCCCTGCATCGGCCTCCGCCTCAAGTCAGGCGGAAGGCCAGTGAGAAGCATCTTCAGGACATTGCGAAGGCACGTTATGGCTCCGTCATGCAGGGCCGCAACCTCTATCGGTCTTCCCCTTCCGTCCGCGCGGCCACGTGAGCCGCTTTGGACTGACCGATCTTCGGCACGAGCAAATCATGTCTGCTCTTCAGGTCTGCGGCTTTGCCCGCACACTGCGCGAGCAACGTCGCGCCGGTGACGGAGCCGACCTTCGAAACCGAAGACGCTCTTGACACCATCTGGCCCCAAACTGGTACTTGCTGCAAAAAACCCTGGATCTTCGCCGACCGCACGGCCCGAAGTGCCGCGGCGCCGTGGAGACCCCATGGCCTCCCACCCTCGCTTGGGGCTCTTGCGCCTCTGGGGTGTGGGCATGGCTGGGCAGATGGGCAACGGGCCGACCCATGACGCACCCCCATCCTTATCTGCCCAGAACCCAGAGTGTGCACAGACCCTACGCTTGTACCAAAGAGGAAGAAGATGGATATGTAACATCGGGGGGAGAATACTACTAACTTGTTAGCCGTCCGAGTCCACAACGGGGGATGACGGGGGGGAGGGCCAACCCCCTGAAGATTTCGGATTCCGCATGCAGCTGATGTTCTTTATATAATGCCTTCGATTGTGTTTGTCATTGGTATAAGTAGTTTTATGTCGGAGCAGAGCGCGTTGAGACAATGACGAACTCAAAATACGTCCCCCCCCGCCAGAGCGCTCGCCGGGTCCAAACGCACCAATTGTCCGAGCTATATCCAGCCGTGGCGACGAGGGCCCCTGCCCGAAGGCCAACTAACGTTGTCTCAACTCGTTCTCCTCTCATGGTTTGTTTTGGGATGCCCTTCCGCGACGCCAGTGTGCCCCGGGGGACTCGCGCTCACGGAACGATTGCCGCGCCTTCGCCCACGCGCTGATGACGATGTTGAGGCAGACGACGTTGGGCCGTTCGGGGCCGTCCCTTGGCAGCTTGCCGAGCCACAGCTCCACCCTGGACCTGAGCCGCACGAGCACGGCTCAAAAGGAGGAGGAGCAGGAGGAGCAGGTGGAGCAGGAGGAGGAGGAGCAGGAGGAGGAGGAAGAGGAGGGGGAGCGGAAAAAGGTGGGGTGAAGAAGCGTGCACCGTCCGTGCTCCTTTTGAGCCCGCGGGTGGCAATGTAGGGACCGTTCTGGGTCCCTTTTGGGCCGCTCCCCTCCAGTCCGCGATCACCCCACACTTGATTGCCTCCCCGTTGTGCCGTCCGCCCGATGGAAGGCAACGACGACGCAGACACCCGGCGTCGCGAGATGGAATCGAGATGGTCCGCCGTTCCTCGGCCTCGCCTCCAGGGACCCGTTTTCGGGCCCTGGGACGCATTTTTGACAGCTCTGGGGGGCTACGCCACGAACTTTTCCGTCTGCGGCTCGGCAGAGCCACTGCGCTGGCGAGGAAGCCAAACGGGGCTGCCGTTAAGCGATCTGTGCCACCATGCAAGAGGGGAGGAGAAGACTTGGCGGCGCGCACAAGGGGGTGGAGCGAGGGGGGAGGGCTTCCTAGAAGGAGGCTGCTTCTTAGAAGGCGCCGGCCTTACATCTATAGAGGGGGCCCGCGCCTTCTAAGAAGCAGGGGTGCTTCTAAGAAGCCCTCCCCCTCCCCCCCCCCTCTGCGCGTGGCCGAAAGACGAGGAAGCGACGGCCGGCCCACGCCAGAAGCACGAATCACGACGACGAGCGAGCGAGCGAGCGAGCGAGCGAGCGAGGCGCCGGCTCCCGGCACCTCCCGCGGTGCGCGTGTGCCCGCGCCCTTCCTCTCTGGGCAAAGCGCGCGACACCTCGGAAAGGGGAAGACCGTCCACGGCGGGAGCAGGACGGAAAGCGAACTGGACCGACAACAAAACCGGAGCCGGCAGAACTGGGGGGACGAACAATGACCAGAACGTAACAACTCGGAGGTCCGCGCGGATTTCTCGGATCGGCGCTGGGGCCCGCTGGCGGCGCCTCCGGCGCCGCCCCTGGCGCGCTCCGCGCGCCAGGGAGAGGGGTCCAGCGCGGATCCAAGATATCCGCGCGGACCTCCAAGTTTTTATGTTTATGCCATTCTTCGTTCCCCTACTGAACCGACAGGCCGCAAGCAACCTAGAAGGACTCATCGACGCGGCAACGACGCAAGCAACCATCGACCGAACCGAACGGGCCGAACACATCCGACGGGGACGCAGCCGCCCCGACCAAACCGCGAAAGACCTTGTCCTCCCTCCTTTTACTTCGCTGCTCATACAAACAAACTCGGCGTTACGGAGACCGCCAATATATATATATATATATATATATATATATACAGCTCTCCGACGACGCGATCTGGTTCTCCCTGGTCAGACCCACGGAGCAAGAAACATGCCGGCAGAAACGGCGGAGGGAAACATGACCTACGAATGGTGAGCGCGGCAGCTTTGGCATCAACGCGGTGATCAAGGACCGCCATGTCCCAGGCTTGACTTTTCTTCACCGGTATCGAGATCCAGCCTGAGGACTGCGAGTAGGGTCGCCCGATCGGTGCAGAGGGGAACCGCAGCACCGACCAAATGAAAGACGAGGTAGGACTGCTTCGGCTGCGTTGGGATACGGTCGGGAACTGTTGGATAGCGTGTCGCCCCGGAGGCCCCGGCGACACGCTATGCCATGCGAGCGGATAGCGTGTCGCAACGCTCCACGGGGCGGGACGTTGATAGCCGGGGGACCGCGACGTGGATAGCGTGTCGCACCGAGGAACGGCAGGCCAGAACCTGCGGAGCGACACGCCATCGAAAAGTTTTCGGGGGTGGACAGACCACCCTTTAGCAAGACGCCATTTAGTAAAAGCTGCCAGGGGCACTCCACGTAAGCCGAGTGCACCCAAGCAGGGTAGCTAATCGACGTCCAAGAACAAGCAAATGTATCCAGCGAAACGCACGTCGATTAGCGAAACCGAGTGGGACTGCACCGGTACACTCGAATGCCAATGTCGAGTGAACCCGTGCAGATATCCCCAGTCGACTTGTCTGGGTGGGGAAACCAAAAGGTACGCTACTCGACGGACCTCTCTGACTAGAATTTCGATGCGAATCCAGCGGTGGCGACGAGATCCTCCGAGGAGGCCCAAAAAGGGGAAAGCGGCCGAAGGGTAGAGGTATGGGTACCTTTTCCTCCTCTGACTGGGTGGGCGTTCACTCAATGCCCGATGCTCTGGCTCCATGCGGAAGCCCAGAACATCTGAGCGACCGGCGGCCCACCTGCAGCTCGACCACAGCCTTCCGCGAGCGGCCTCTCCGATCGGACAGGCGGGGCCAATGGCAGACCTCGACGCTCAGGCCGGCAGCAAGCGATCGCCCGGAGAGCGCGGGGCCTCAACCGCCCCGATCCGCAGCACGCACCCCGTAACGTGTTGACACGGAGCTCAACACGTGGACTGAAAACCTAGGTTCAGGTCGGGCCTGTCCCCCTACAGGGGGATTTTGGACGAAAACTAAAAACTACTCAAACAATAATCAAAAAATAATCCCCAGACTATTTTTTGACTATTTTTGAATTTTCCCCCTGTAGGGGGACAGGCCCGACTTAATCTAGGTCTGGCGCGATACGCTCGCCAAAACCGTGGACCAAGGCATGCCGAGCCAGCCCGCAGCGTGTGACCATGGACGTCTCGAACGCGGTACGTGCTGCGCTTCAACACGGCCGCATCAGGGCATCTAAGCGCGGGACACGTCGCCGGCCTTCGTGTACGCATTCATCACCTCAGGCGCGCCCGCTGGCTGGGCCGCTCCGCGACCCGACCCTGATCCTGCCGTCCGCACGCGTGCGCGATGCCGCCCGAGGGGACGCAACGACCCTTCCGATGGGCAGACACAGAGGGGCCACGCTGAGGACGTGGAGGGTGGTTTGGAGTACATCAGGGCACGGCTGGTTCTTGTCGTGTCGGCGTGCACGCTGGTTTCTAACACCACGTGCATCGTTCAGTCTCGAGCGGTCTCCGCTATCCGACGGCGGAGGCCGATCAACATTTGCCTGATTCATGCGTCCGCGCCAGCGTCGACGCGGCGCGAACCCGAGCCTGCCGTATTCTTTGTTTTGAAGGTTCGATCCCGAATGCGTGCCTGACTGTGATCCAATCAGCACGGTCCACCCCAGGGCGCGGTGCATCCACTCGACCGAGGGCCCGATCGAAATCTCCTCAACCCTCCCCCTGTCACTCCTCCCTCGAGTCTCCTCCTGACCCTCCCTCCTGCTTCGTGCCTCCTCCCTCATCTCGGCGCCCTGTCCCCCCTTCTGCATCCCAATTCCCGCCCCCCTTTCCTCCCCGCTCCTCCTCCTCCTGCTCACCCGCTCTCGCCCCTCCATCCTCCTCCCTCCTCGCTTTTCCAGCTCTCGCCCCTCCATCCTCTTCCATCCTCGCTCCTTCCGCCTCGCTTCTGAAAATCGTGGACGAATCCTGGACCCCGTCCATCCAGAAATCCGAAGCGAATCCAGCCGTGTCGACCAGGGGCCCTTCAGAAGGCAACAAAAACAGAGAATCAGAAAGCCTCCCCATCCCCCTCTTCATCCTTCCTCCTCGTCTCCCCCTTCTCGCTCCCCAACAAAGCGACCGGATCTTGGCCACCGGATCTCAAGCCCCGACCGGCGAGATCGGGGCCATCGGTCTCCGGGCCACCACTCGGCCGAGACGGAGACCAGGAGGAGGGAAGGAGGATCCCAGGATTCCTTTGCCACAAACTAGATGGGGTTGGACTGTGTTTTGAAACATGTGAGCGTTTTCTTCTTCGGCGTCTTGACATTGGGTTGACGGGGTGGGGAAGGGGAGAGGGTCTGGCTCCTGACCTCTGCTTAGTGCTCAGTGCGTCCGATGGATGAGGCCCCACTTGCCTGAAACAGGCGCCAAAAACAGCCAAGATCTACTCCAACGGGGGGGGCATTGGGGGCGAGGGACCACGCCGATCGGCAAAACGATGAATAAGAAAACGATCACGTTTTGTTATGAACCATGGGTCTCCACAGACTGTTTCAGGACATAGGGCCGTGACAACAACGATCCGGGACGACAAGCCAATCCTGGAGGTGATCGAGGGCTCCAAAGGTCCACATGGCCGCCGCCCAACACCTGGGGTTAAAAACGTCTCGGGAGGGAGTAAGAGGGAAGAGGGGAAGGAGAAAGAGGAGGAGGGAGAAGGGGGAGGAGGAGGGAGGAAGCGGAGGCAGGATGAGCAAGAGGAGGAGGAGGAGGAGGAGGAGGAGGAGGAGGAGGAGGAGGAGGAGGAAAGGAGGAGGAGGAGGCGGAGGAGGAGGAGGAGAGGGCAGCATTGTTAGGACGAGAAAAACCTATTGACACAACGTGCTACTTATACGTTCCGGAGATTCCGGGATTTCTAACAGCTTTCGCGCGGGGTACACTTTGCGTCGAGTATTGTCTACTCTGGCTGGCGCCGCTGGTCGGTCACCCATTCGCAATCGAGTGGTCGCCCGTAAGGGGCTATTTGGCAGTTGCTGACCCCCCTTCTCGTTGCCGAGCGCGGGGGGGGGCGGTGGCGCACCGTCCCATCGCCCGCCGCCGCGCACCGCGCGCCTCGGCGGATTTCCAGAGACCTGGCAAGGCACAGCATGCGCGACTCTGGAAAATTCTCCAGGGATAAAATTGAACAAATCCGGGAATAGTTTCGAACTTGTCCAGCCTACATTTTGACAAATACCAGAATCGTTTTTGAAAATGTCCGGGATCGATTTTGAAAAATTCCAGAATCCATTTTGAAAAATTCCGGATTTCAGAATTATTCAGATGTCCTGCGCGGCGGGCGCATTCCACCCCTCAAAACTGTTGTTTTTTTGAAAATGTCCGGGCTCCTTTTTGAAAAATTCCGGAACCGCTCGCGCGAAACAAACGGAAGCGTTTTCTGACACATTCTATAATCCAGAAATAATGTCCGGGCGGTCCGACGGGCGCGGCCGGCTGATTCACGCGCCGCGCCGCGCGCGATTGGGCGCAGCGCGCGCCGCGCGTTGTGCCCGCGAGCAGCACTCGAAGGGGCCGCCTCGAAAACAGCGCCACGGCAGCTGCGACTCGCGGACTCCCCAAGAGCAACACAGCATGCAGCTTGGAATCTTCGAGGGCGCTCTGATGCGCGAAAAATGCACCGCGAACATCACGCAAAAAACCTGCGCGACGGAATGCGCTCGACCATTCGTCCCTGGAGCCCGCGCAAAAGAACAGGAAAACCTGAACATCTGGAAACCTATCAATATCAATACTTCATGCTCCTCTGAATTGTGGTACAACTCTCACTCACGTCCGCAGCACCGAAGCACCGAAGGAGAACTGCGAAGAACTGTGGCGCCAACGCCCCTGCCGAACCGACCGAACCGCGGGCGTTTTTGCTCTGCCATCTCTGGGGGTCCGGATCCACGTTGCCGGGTGGCCGCAGGGCGTCGGAGTTTCCGAGGTGTTCATCGATGGCTCCAAGATGGCCTCCGACATGACGTGAGATGGCCCAAAGTGATTGAATTGTCCTTCAACAAAACATCAAGAGGCCAAAGGACAGCCCCAAGATGACCCTGAGGTGCGCCCCAAGCCTCCACGGGATGCCAACGAGAGGCCACAACACAATTGAAAAACGCTCTATAGGTTTCGCCGTCGCGCTTTCTCCTTTTGGGATGGGGCACATAGGCCTCAGGCCTGAGGCGGCCCTGATAGGACCCGAAGAGGACACCGAAGGCCGCCAAGAGAAACCCAAGATATCCAAGAGGGACCCAAGATGTAACTTGTCTAAATCCCACAATCTGAATGTTACTGTACGCGCCGCCATATATCGCTAGCCTCCACCATGGGCTGGAGAGGTCTCCAGACATGGTCACAGAGAGCCCAACGAAACCACCCCCAAAGAGCACGAATCTGGCTCACGGGGCTCCCAAAGGCTCCAAGGTAAACTGCTTTGGGGCGCTGCTTGTCCTCTTTGCGTCACGATTGTCCATACAACGTGTCGACAAGAACAAATGTGCATGTTTGTGCACATGTACAAACAACTAAGATCCTTGTCATGTTGGCTTCACAATGTGCTGACGAGCATTGGCGCAACGTCCTTAAACACGTCTCCTTCGCCATGCCCTCCTTCCCGTCCCCCTCCTCCCCATCCTCAATCCCTCATTCCAGCTCTCGCGGTCGCCAGGAGCAGGAGAAGCTCAAGACGAATGAGCAGCAAGGAGCCATAGCAGCATGACTGGTGTGGTGCTGGTGGAGGAGCATGCGGGCTGAGGTTGAGGAAACCAAAAAAACTGCAATGCAGGAACAAAACAAACCCTGCTCAACCAAAAAGCGCGGGTGCCTCGCGGCCACGAGCGGCTCGCTAACCCTGGTCAGCCAGAGGGGTCTTCGCAGGATCCTGCAGGATCCAGTGCCCTGGCTGACCCCCGTTTGCATTGACCCCCGTCTCTGAAGCTCCGAATCGAGCACCGACGTGCTCAGCCGGGGCCCTCCTCAGCCCGCCGCGGCCCCGACGCAGAGCGCGGTCGGCTGCTCCCCGGCCTCGAGCATCCTCTGCTCCAGCCTCTCGACGAGGCGGAGGTCGCCCGCCTGGGGAAGGCGGAGCGTGACCAGGGAACAACGAACGGCACACGCGTCACTATGAAATTTTCGGAGGTCCGCGCGGCCTTCCTGGATCGGCGCTGGACTCCCCTGGCGCCGCCCCTGGCGCCTACCCCGCCCGCGCCAGGGGAGGGGGGGTCCGGCGCCGAGCCGGGAACTCCGCGCGGACCACGGAAGTTTCTGTTTGCATGCCGTTGTTTGCTCCTCGGCGCGAGGATCGGCGGCGCGCTCGCGCGCGGGAGGGTCCTCGCTCCTCCTCGCTCCTCCTCCTCCTCGCTCCTCCTCGCTCCTCCTCGCTCCTTCCTCCTGCTCCTCCTCGCTCCTCCTCGCTCCTCCTCCTGCTCCTCCTCGCTCCTGGCGTGGCGAGCGGGGGGGGCGGCCCCAGCGGGGCAGGGGGCCTCGCCTCGCAGAGGGGGGCCCGACGCTCCTGGGGGGGGAGGTCCTCTGCGGAAGCACGTGGGTTTCCCAGAAGCCCAGCATCTCCTTCTCAAACAATCCCCCCCCCTCCCCCGCGCCCCACCCCCTTCTGCGCGCCGCCAGGAGGAGGAGAGGGGAGAGGAGGAGGAGGAGGAGGAGGAGGAGGAGGAGGAGGAGGAGGAGGAGGAGGAGGAGTAGGAGGAGGAGGAGGAGGAGGAGGAGGAGGAGGGGGATGAGGAATAAGAAAAGGGAAAGGAGGAGGATGAAGATGAGGAGGAATGCAAAGGGGAAACGGCGAGGAACGCACGTCCAATGCGAGTGCCGTCAAGCTTTCGACAAACGAGGACAGCATGTCGTGTTGAAAAGTGGTGAGCATAGTTGTCGAGTTGCGATGGGGTGACTGGAAGCTCGGCGCGGAACGTATGGAAGATGAAATACGCTAAGCTGACCAAATCGTGGGACAACTCGAACGAGAGATCAGTGCCGTCCTGCTCCTCCTCCGTCCTGAGGCCAAGCCACAGGAAAGTAGGGGAACGAAAAATGACATGAACATAAAAACTCTGACTCTGAGGTCCGCGCGGACATCTTGGATCCACGCTGGACCCGCCCCCCTGGCGCGCGGAGCGCGCCAGGGGCGGCGCCGGAGGCGCCGCTAGGGGGCCCCAGCGCCGATCCGAGAAATCTGCGCGGATTTCAGAGCTTTTATGTTTATGTCACTGTTCGTTCCCCTAGAAAGGGGGGGGTGGGACGGTGGGGATGTGCAGGCGGGGCAGGGCAACGAGGCGAAGCAGGCGGGGGCAGGAGGGGCAGTGGAGGAACGAGTCGGGGTGCCCAGGGCAGCTGGAACCTCAGGCCCGTGGCGTGAGAATCTCGACCCCGTGGCTGGTGATCCACCCCCTCAGCGAGGGTTTCAAGATCCTCCCTCCTGCCTCCTCCCTCCTCCTCCCTCCTCCCTCCTCCCTCCTCCCTCCTCCCTCCTCCCTCCTCCCTCCTCCCTCCCTCCTCCTCCTCGTCCTCGTCCTCCTCCTCCTCCTCCTCCTTGCACGGCTACCTCAGGCCATTGGCGTGAGAATCTTGACCCTGTGGCTGGTGATCCACCCCCTCAGCGAGGGTTTCAAGATGGGCCCACACCTTGCACGGCTGAGAACGTGACAAGACTTGGCGAAGTGCGACTCACTCTGTCTGCACAGCGGCAAGAGGCAAGGGACCGGGAGGGAGCCACGCCTCGGCAAGGGTTGCGGCGGCGGGGCGGCCCGCTTCGGAAGAGACCCGAGGCGGTACCGCCACGCCCGCAAGGAGACCCGCAGCCTCGACCCGATGACCAAGAACAGGTTCTGCCCGCACGCCTAGGTGAGGGGCGACGATGGGGGAGGACTGGCATAGGGGGCATGCATCGACCTGGAATCGGCAATACATCGCCGATAGATCGGCGATAGGCCTCCAATAGTGAATCCGCACCTGCATGGGCAGGTTAGGGCTACCGAGCCCCTATCGACGATCAATGGGCGATTGGGGGGTCGATGCATCCCTCCCGATGCATATCGCCCCCCTATCGTTGCCCCGGACTAGGTCTCTCATGGCCGCTGCTCGAACTGGCAACTCCATGTCCACAGCTTGACTGAGGAGGGCTCCCACCTGTGTAAGCCGCACAGCACGATGCGCCGCGCCGAGGCGAGAAGAGGCGAGCACTGGATACGACGCTCTTGATCGTAGTCTAGGCAGGGTGTCGTGTAAGATTGCGGGCACCGTTCGCGAACACGACCAGGTGGAAGCACTAGCATGCTACAGGCGAAACGAGAATTCGTTACTCCGGCTGATGTATCTTTGCTGCGCTACCGACAGCAGATAAAATACGTCGGACCCCCGCCTTGTCATCAATGCCGACTGCGGCCTCTCGCTTGACAGTTTGCACCTCGGGGTCGTCGGCATCGAATCCCACTCCGTCAGCATCCATGGCACCTGCCCCCTGCACCTGGTTCAAGACTGGCAGCGGAACCAGCAGGTGCACCAAGCTGGGCGCCGGTGCAACCGCAACCACTATCTGGCTCTCCTCATGGAGAACTGCCCCAGCGGCCCGCGCGATGCTTTCTCAAGCCGCTCCGAATTGTTTGGGGACCGCCTGCAACATGTTGCCAAACTGTTGCAGGAAGTCGATTCCAGCGACCGCGCTCCATGATATACCTTCTTGGACTGGGGATGGTTACCTTTGCTGGCTGCGCATTGATGGCCGACTGGGTCCTCGCAAGGGTGTCTGTCCTCGGGGCTGGCAAACTGTGACCGTATCTCATCGGCGTGCTTCCACGCCTCGAGTGGAGCCCGGCTGGCTTCCTTGCAGCGCCCTTTGCGCGATTGGTTATGTTTCTCTTTCTGTTTCTCCCGTCTCAGCAAGTCCTGGCGGGACTTGGTGCTGAGGTCCGTGGGTTTCTATTCCTCCCGGGCCAGCTTCTCAACGGACGCCACCACCTCATCCATGGATTCGCCCGAATTGTTCACGATAGGCCCGCAACAGTTCGACAAGGAACGTGTTATCCGAGGGTACACCTTAGCCCTCGTCCTTGTTGTTGGCCTTGACTCCACGACCCTCGTCCCCGGAGCTGTCGAGCTGCTAGGGAGGCCCGCTGGCTCAGCGACGGATGTCGAACCATGGGCCACGCTGTCGTGGCCGACGCTGGGTGTTCTGAACCGCCAGAGGTCCAACCTCTCTCACATTCTCGACAGCGAGATCGCCACATGAGGTTGGCATAACAAGAGGGGGTGTCACTGCAAAGCCAGGTCACTGCAGAGCCAGGTTGGAAAAGCGATCTCCCTCCATCGCGGGCAGGCGTGGGCGAACTTAGGTAAGCTGACTCATGGCCCAAAGTCGCTGCGCCACTTCCATGTGCGCGGCGTCGGGGATACGTCCCACAGACGTGGGCACAGCTCGGAGCAGAGGGAGCAGGAAAAAGGAGGACGAGGAAGGAGGAGCACTCGCACGGGGAGGGCCACGCGAACTTGGGCGGTGGCGGAATGATGTAGCACGACGCCTCCCCTTCCCAGAAGCGCGACGTCATCTTTGTTTTTCACAGGGAGGGCGCCCAAACTCTCGGTCCCTGCCAGAGGGACAGGAATTTGTTGTGCCTCGGGGGCCTCAGGCCTTGGCCCTGGATGCCGAAATTGCAAAAATCAAATCTGGCCGTCGCGCCTTTCTTCGAGACGCTGGAGGCTGGGCGGCATCACCCGCAAGCCTTGGCCGCGCTGAACAGCTTGGCGCCCAAGGCGGTCATATTGCTCGCCTTCTCCTCTTGCGGGCACCGGAGATCTACGACCGCCTGCATCTCCCCCCTCCAGCCCTCCCCGAACGGCGCCACCAGAAAATCGACACGGCCAAGTTTCGGACTCTGGCGGGATCCAGAAGGCAGTCCTCTCGATCCGTTCCTGGGGCCGCTCTGTCGCAGCGAGCTGGAAGAATGCCCTAGGCACACAAAAATGTGAGCATTTTTTCCCAACCATCCTGTGGTGTTGGGTCCTCGTTTTGAAGAGACGGTGCCCCGCGTTCCTCTCCTCCTCCTCCTCCTCCCCCCCCTCCCTCCTCCCATCATCATCATCATCATCATCATCATCATCATCATCATCATCATCATCATCATCATCATCATCATCATCATCATCATCATCATCATCATCATCATCATCATCATCATCATCATCATCATCATCATCATCATCATCATCATCATCATCATCATCATCATCATCATCATCATCATCATCAGCAGCAGCACCGATTTCGGCACACCCCTCACACGTTTCGTGGCCCCATAGGGAGCTCCACCGAAGGCCCCAGTGGCAGGGTCCGCATGCCTCCCCACCACCCATTTCGGCACACCCCTCACACGTTTCGTGGCCCCATAGGGAGCTCCACCGAAGGCCCCAGTGGCAGGTCGCATGCCTCCCCACCACCCATTTCGGCACACCCCTCACACGTTTCGTGGCCCCATAGGGAGCTCCACCGAAGGCCCCAGTGGCAGGGTCCGCATGCCTCCCCACCACCCATTTCGGCACACCCCTCACACGTTTCGTGGCCCCATAGGGAGCTCCACCGAAGGCCCCAGTGGCAGGGTCCGCATGCCTCCCCACCACCCATTTCGGCACACCCCTCACACGTTTCGTGGCCCCATAGGGAGCTCCACCGAAGGCCCCAGTGGCAGGGTCGCATGCCTCCCCACCACCCATTTCGGCACACCCCTCACACGTTTCGTGGCCCCATAGGGAGCTCCACCGAAGGCCCCAGTTGCGGGTCACACCCTTTCGGGGCACACCCCTCACACGTTTCGTGGCCCCATAGGGAGCTCCACCGAAGGCCCCAGTGGCTCCGCATGCCGCCCCCACAGGCACCCCTCACACGTTTCGTGGCCCCATAGGGAGCTCCACCGAAGGCCCCAGTGGCATGCCTCCCCAACACCCATTTCGGCACATCCCTCACACGTTTCGTGGCCCCATGGGGATTTCCACTGAAGGCCCCAGTGACTGGGTTCGCATGCGCCCCCACACCCATTTCGGCACACCCCTCACACGTTTCGTGGCCCCATAGGGAGCTCCACCGAAGGCCCCAGTATGCCTTTTCGGCACACCCCTCACACGTTTCGTGGCCCCATGGGGATTTCGCCCCAGTGCCGCATGCGCCCCCACACCCATTTCGGCACACCCCTCACACGTTTCGTGGCACCATAGGGAGCTCCACCGAAGGCCCCAGTGGCTGCGTTCGCATGCCGCCCCCACACCAATTTCGGCACACCCCTCACACGTTTCGTGGCCCCACAGGGAGCTCCACCGAAGGCCCCAGTGGCTGCGTTCGCATGCCGCCCCCACACCAACTTCGGTGCACCCCTCACACGTTTCGTGGCCCCATAAGGAGCTCCACCGAAGGCCCCAGTGGCAACGTTCGCATGCCGCCCCCACACCCATTTCGGCACACCCCTCAAACGGTTCGTGGCCCCATAGGGAGATCCACCGAAGACGGTACTCACACCAGCATTACTCACAACTGCATATGGTTGGGTCCTTCGCCAGGCTAATTTGATTCGGCATTTCGACATTGGGCGGAAGGGGGGGGAGGAGGGGTGTGTGGCTCCGGACCTCTGCTTAGTGCGACTGTTTGCAGCAGTGCATCCATTATGGGGGAGGCTTCGCCTGCTCGAAACAGGCGTCAAAAACAGCCAAGATGTACTCCAGGGGGGGGGGGGGGGCCCGCGCCGATCGGCAAAACAATGAATAAAAAACACGATCACAATGACGAACATCTTATGTGAAGTGGCCCAAAGACATACGAATAAATACACGCATCTCCCGGGTTCCCCCATAGTTTTCTTCATATTTTCTGGATGTTTGCCTTCCCCTCCACTTCCGAAATTTGCCATATTGTCTGGGAGTCGACGTCTATTTGTGTCTGTTTTTTTTGTTCCTCCTGGCTTTCACAGCAAGCTGACAAAATGCCCTGGACAAAGAAAATTACGAAAATCGTATGACGCGACTTCGAGTCGCAAAAAGTCTGGGGAGGGGGGAGGGAACGGATCGGGCCGGGAAGCAATGGTGGGAAGCAAGACCCCCGACAGTGTGCCTTGGTTCAACCCGCGGGTCCCAAAAATATCGACCCCTTCCCAGAAGCCAGTGTTTCGTCCCCGATCTGTTCTTGGTGGTCCCGGGGCCCACAAATTGTTCTCAGAGGCCGATATCCAAAAAAATCGGCAGCATGGAAAAACAACAAGACGTCGGAGAGCTGAGACCTGCATTTCTGCCGAGTGCCAGCACGTCGTCTGAAGATCTCCAGAAGTTGGCGGAGGTCTTTGAATGCAGGTCCCCGCAGGCATGCGAAGAAGCCTCCAAATGCCCGAACAACAGTCTCTAAGGAATCCCGAACCCATCGATCGAGCGAACATACTTGACCTTGTCCGACCTGGGAACCTAGGCTTCTGCCCAGTGTGCTCCTCTGAGCCGAGGTCAGCGTCGGAGGAGAGGTCGTCCACCTGTTAGCGGGCCCGGCGCAAGGAACCATCTCGGGCCCAGAGGGGCGGCTCTCAAGGTCGCCCAAGTGGGTCGATGCACTTCGAAGCTCAAGGTGAAACAAGGCCAAGAACGGGACAACATTGGATCGGGATAGATCGGGGATCTCTTAGGTCCGCCCGTTCTGCAAGATGTAATCGGGCGCCGCGGCTTTCTCAGAACGTTCCGGAACGTTCTGAGAACGGTCCAGAAAGCTCTGGATAGATGTATTCCGTTCCTCGGCTTATGTTGTTCCCATCGGATCTAAGGGCCACATCCCAGAAATAATTTCGAGCACCCAGAGAAGTATCAAAACAATGTCGAACGAATATCTCCTCCCAGGGCCCGACACGTGAAATCCCTCCTGCTTCGGTACTGTCTTGGTGCTCGAATTTTTTTCTGGTGGTCGGGGCTGAAGTAGGTTGGAACATCATCCTCGGCCTGCACGACAAGAGCCGCCAGGGAGCCCCAGCGGCCTCTGGAGGCCTCCAGGTTCGCTCGGTGACCCCCCCCCCTCCCTGGGAGCCTCTGGAGGCCTGCGCGTCGAGGCTTAAGGAAGCTGGGATGCCCATCGACGCTAGCCGGTGCCCATCGACGCTAAATCGACGCGGATCTACGATAAAGCGGCGCTTCCTCATCGATTGCAAAACGCTAGCGCACGCGAATGCACTCTAGAGACGGAATTGCGAGGACAGACAAGTCTCCCATGAGTTGCTACCGAACTCCCCTCTCGTGCTAATACTCGTAGACGGTATCAGAATCATGAAACACATATGACAGCCAAAAGGGAGAGAGAGAGAGAGAGAGAGAGAGACAGAGACAGGGAGAGGGCTTGAAACGAGAACAAATCGCGGACGTAAATTTGAAAACGGTGCTGGACCAAAGCGAGGTCCGGTCACGGAAGGTATCCCCCTCTCCCCTTTCCCCGCTCTTCTTGTGCGCGGCGCGCCGCGTGGCAAGAACGTATGCATGCATAGCGTCGACGGCACTGCCAGGCATACGGACTGCGTTGAGGCGTTCCCAGATCGACAGCAGGCAATTCAGCGCATATGATCCAGCCACACTGAGTGAGCCAAATAAAAAGTAGCGCAGCTTTGGGGGGCATGATGCCTAAGGCATATGCGCATACGTATTTTCACGCGAGCGTGGACACTATATTATGTGCACGTGTGTAACAACAAAACAATGAATGCACACCTTAATGGAGGGCAGAATAAGTACCCGCGTAATGACCACAACCCAATTCGAGGCCACGTAGCTAACGCGCTTAAATGAGAAAGGCACAATGACACGGCGGCCGTGTAAACGCACAGGGAGCGTTTAGAAAACAGCAACTATAAAAGGTCGGATTGGATTCTCTTTCCTCGAACCAAGGATCCTACGATAAGTGCGTAGGATGAGAAGTAAGACATGCAAGAACACATTGACTGTCCATCTTCAACTATCTTGAGGTGCCCACGTCATTCTGTGGTTCCCTGGGGCCCGTGGACGATACGGACTTTCCATCGGGGGCATGCTGGCAGGCTGATGTGTTATCTGACGTGCCTGCTGCTCGCAGTCTACATGCGGCCAAAGTCACTACGCAATGCACATACAACTCGGCCACGACATGTTTTCCGAGCACGGTACCGCGAATCCAAACGGGGCGAATACTGGGATTGGTTTCTCCTTTTGTAGCCAGGGGAGCGACGCGCCAACACCAGCTCCGAATAAACTTCGACAGCCCCTGAAAGCAAACAAGACCAGCCCGGAAGCGAAACACTGCGTTGCAGGGAGAGCGGAGTGCAAGCGAAAGCGAATAAGGAATTGCAAGCGAGTTGTTTGATAGTGGGGAAACCGAAGACGACTGGGAATGGGAGCGCGTAAAGGTGGCCAGAACGTCTTGGATCTAAGTCCGAAGCGTGGGCCACGGCGGGTGCTCGGAAATCGATACCTGGACAGACATTTTTTTAAGTTTGAGTCACGTGGGGCATGGCTTGGCGGGTTGCGTCCACTCGCCAGCTCTATCTGGCAACGCTACCTCGAGGGCTTCTCGAGTGGCGTCATCGAGCACGCAGGCGGTAAGGTCACGACCCATGTAGGCCGCGAGCAGATCGCAAGCCTTGTTAGCCACCTCCCACGAACTGGCGAAACACTCGCCGAATGCCGCGGGCTCCTCCAACTCCAGCTGCGGCCCCAAATACATCAGAAGGTCGGCCATCTTTGCGAGATCCGGCCGCTTGCTCACGTACATTCGGCGCAGCCTGGCGCCAATGTCGGCGTGAGCCTGCATCTCCACCTGCCACTCGGCTGTCAACCAACTCTCCACGGCGCGCTCCAAAAACTCGGCGACTCGTTCCGTGTCGGCCTCGGGCGGCAACGCCATCTCTTCGCCCTTTGTAGAGGAGCAAACAATGACATACACAACAACTTTCGGAGGTCCGCGCGGATTTCTTGGATAGCTGGACCCCACTCCCCGGCGCGCGGAGCGCGCCAGGGGCGGCGCCGGAGGCGCCGCCAGGGGGCTCCAGCGTCGATCCGAAAATTCCGCGCGGACCTCCGAAAGTTCATGTTCATGTCATTGCTGGTTCCCCGATGTTGCAGGCTGGCGCCCGACCGCGTGGCACAAAAGTGCACACCCCCGCCACGGCCGTGCCGTCGCCGACACCGAGCGCAGACGCGGCAGGCCACCTGCGAGGCCTGCGAAGCGCGCGCCCGCAACGCCAGCCAACGAGCCCAGGCCCAATGCTGCGACAATGGCCCGGGCAAAGCAACCTCGGCGCCGGACCGCCAGCCGCCAGCCCCGCATCGACGGCTGCTCCGCGACAGCGGGGGAGAACAGGTGGACTAGAGGCCTCCCAGATGGGGCCCGCCTACGGTGGATCGCACCGCATCGCCGATGCATCGGCAATGTATCGGTGTTGCGTCGGCGACGTCGGCCATGCATCGGCGACGTCGGCGTGGAGAAATTCGGGCTCCGCATCGAGCCGCATCACCAATGCATCGGCGATGCAGCGCGATCCTCCGATCCCATCTTCCTGGACCCCATCTGGAAGGCCTAGATGGACAAAATGATACCGTCGCGTCGACCTCAAACAGAAGATCAGGAAGGTACAGGCATCTGTGGCTAGTCGCGGGGCCACTGACGGCCAGGACAACTCCCAGCATGCTTGAGCACCCAAGGCAGAGGACTCGTCGGAGTTGGTGACGACCAACCGACGTCTCAACATATCTGGGCAGAGAGGCTAGTTGGGGCTCGAGGCGTCCAGTGTACTTCCCAACATGCCTGGCCAACCAAGGCAGCGGAGCAAGAAAGGGCGAGTTGGGCTATGGCGCACAGCGGATTTGCCGATATGTCGGAGCAACCGGGGCACCGGGAGTAGACTGAGCTTGTCGGGGCTGCGCCGGCCAACGACACGCCCAGCATACCAGGTCAAACAGGTCAGCGGGGCTCGCAAGGGCCAGCGGAGTTCTCTGCGTTTCTGGGGAACCAGGGCAGCGGTGCTAGCGTCTGCCGTCGAAGCCGTCGGCGCATGAGCGCGCGGGCCTAAATTCTGCTGTCGGCGCTGTTCGCTGGGGGCGAGGGCGGGGAACAGGAGGCTTTGCACGAGGCTCTGGGGCCGCAGATGCGGCCCCAGATCTGGCCGACAACGGCGCGCTCCCCCCGACACGCCGGCCACGGCAGCCTCGAAGCAGGTGGCTCCCGTCGGCCGAGGTGTCGGCCCGCCCACACTGTGCAGCATGGCAAAACCTGGGGCAGCCGCAGTCGGCACCAGTCGGGATCTGCTGCGGCCACGCAGAGCAGCGGGGGTAGTTTGGCGGTGGACAAACCTTCCTTTAGTAAACCACCCTGTAGTGAAAACGGCCTAGGGCCGAAACCGACGGACCTGGACCCGCAAAAATGACGGCCACGACGCCCTCTCGCGAACCGAAAACGGCCAATTCGCTAATCGACGCGTCAGGGTAGGAGGTCTATCAACCTCCTAGTAGTCAGGGCCGGTGGTGGCCACCGAAATTCCCAACCTGCAGGGGGCACTGATGCCAGCTGTGTCGGTCCAGGGGGCTGGTGGCGGTCGACGGACTGCATGCCAGGGCAACTGGGCAGCCAGGCCAGTCGGGCTCGTGTGGGGCCCAGACTCGGCCAGATCAAAGCCCGACTGCATGATGTTTTGTAGAACCCGCCGGCCCTGTCGGCGCGCCTGAGGGTGTATGGCGGCCTCCCATATCGAGCACTTTGAAGCTCTCCCCCCCTGTGGCAAACTCAGGCACGTCAGCCTCAGGGAAGTCGACAAGTGTCGCAATCCAGTTGACGAGAAGCCCCTGTCATTTGATCCCTGCCCTGGGATGGGGGTAGAGAGGGTGGGGATCATGGAGAGGAGGGAGATCCTGGAGGTGAGTGGTGGGGGTTCTGGGAGGGAAGCACCCCTCCCCCACACACCTTGACGTTCCTGCCCGCGTAAGTACACAGCTGACATGCAGAGTGGTTCGGAATCCAGCCCCCCAGCATGCGTCAAGATGGTCCAAGGGGCGCGTGCTGGGGCCGAGTTGGAAGTTTCTGTGGCCCTCCAAACCTTCGGGGCCAGCCCGAGAGGCAAAAGTCATCAAACATCCATGGATATAGCAGTGCAGCATGCTATCATTAGCATGCTCGCCATGTCGATCTTGAGAGCGGCCAAGATGGAGTTTCCAGCACCGACCCTGAGCATCGCTGTTTTTCCAGAACGGCACGGGGCGGGCGGTGGCTCGCCGTAGGCGTCTTAGATCCGCCGATCCATATTGCCTTGCCACAGGGTGCTTGGCGTGCTAACTTTGGGAAGAAAGACTCTCTGACCCTTCCAAAAGGTTCCCACTGACCCTCGGCCCAGCCCGCCGGCCCCCGGAAGCGCAGAAAGCCAGTGGCTTGTCCGCCCGAGATGGCCCCAAGAGAGTCTCCTAGAGAGCCCTTGACCGCCATCACATCGGTTCAATATGTAGCACCCCGCAACTGCAGATAAGAATGACGGGGCGGGCGCGGGGTGGATCGCCTGTGGGTCGCGAGTGAGTCGCGGGTGGATCGCGGGGTGGGTCGCGGGTGAGTCGCGGGTGGGTCGCGGGTCGGTCGCGGGCCGGGTCGCGGGCTGGACGACGATAACAAACAACACGCAACAAACAAACAATTCAGAACCGACAGCCAGCAACAACCAACAACAACCACCACAAAAACAATAACAACAGCATCAACATCAACAACACCAGCGACAACATAACAACAACACCACCAACAACACCACCACCAACAGCACCACCACCACCACCACCACCAACAACAACAACAACAGCAGCAACAACAACAACAACAACGACACCACCAGCAACAACCACAACAACACCAGTAGCACCAACTATTTTAAGACTGTGCGCTCTTATCTGCTCGCGTGCCATTTAAAACGTAATTCCCAAATCCTTGATACCCGCCCTCTTCGACATCGATCGTATCCCCTTAGGGGTAGATCTTTTCGTACCTGCAACGTGTATTTTGTGCAACCCCTAAGGCAGGGCAAGAGAGGATGGATAGAAGGAAGGGACAAGGTGCAGGCGGGTTGCTGAAGCGTGCGTCCTGCATGCATCGCGAGGAAGTCTCGAGCGATAGCGCGATTCCCGAATAAGTCGTCAGGAGATCCAAAGCGAGAGCGTGATTCCCGAGTGTCGAGGGCGCGGCGTTTGAATACATTGTGAGGAAGTCCCACGCGAGAGCGTGATTCCTGTTTCAACTGTGAAGACGTCCCGCGCGAGAGCGCGATTCGGGAATACATTGTGAGGAAGTATTAGGGGAGAGCCGTTGTTGTAAGACGGGGGCCAGGGGTACAGTTTGGTGACACCCAACTTTACCTTGTAAAAAGCAGGGTGCGAGCCCCGCGAGAAGCAGTTTCATTGAACAAATGTGATGGTTACCAGAGGGATGAACCAACAAGAATCATTCTCTACAAATGCGAATTTCTTTGCTTATCAAAAAGAAACAAGAACCACAATCCGCACCGCGGAAGCCAATTCAGCCACGCACCCAGGGACAGTCAGTGACCGTTCGGCCCCCTTCACTCTGATAACTCCTAAGAGGACCCCAAGACTGCCCAAGAGGCCTCCAAGACGCCCAAGGGAGCTCCGAGGGGCCGCCGAGGAGGGCCCCAAGAGGCACGTGGCGTCTCGTCATTCTCAACATAGCGACTGCCTGTCTTCAGAGAGTCGAGGATGACTAAAGAGGCCCCGCCAGTATTACCCAGATGCTGCCCCAAAAGCTCACCGGACGGCCGAGAAGGGACCCAAGACGACCGCAGAGGTCCCCAAGACAGCCCTACAGGGCCCCACGAGAACCCCAAAACGGCCCAGATAGGACCCCAAGACAGCCTCCGAAGGCGCCAAGCTGCCCAAGAGCGCCCTGAGAGGGCCAAAGAGGACCCTGTGATGGCCAGAACGGGCCCTGGTAGGATAGGAAGCCCCCAGGCAGGACCGGAAGAAAGGAGCCCCAATCCAGCCCCAGAGGGACCCTCCTCCTCCTCCTCCTCCTCCTCCTCGTCGTCCTCCTCCTCCTCCTTCCCCTCCTCCTCCTCCCCCCTGTTCCCCCAGTGGTTTCCCCAACGGCTAGGGGAGGATGCAGTCCACTAGCGTGGCCGCACTGGCGTTCGACGTTTCACGATACGGGCGAGTCCAAAAGGCAGGAGGCGGCGGTGACTCCCCGTAGTTAGGTGTCTTCGACCATCCAAAGCCTTTCAATGTGTCCACAAGTGTGACGTGTGCCTCAAGACGACCCGAGGGAGTCAGAAAACGATCCCAGATGAACCCAAATGGCCCCCTAGACGGCCCAAGGGACACCCAGAGAGCTTGCGCCCAAAGGGCAGCCAAGAGAGCCCTCAGAAGGAACCACAGGCAGAAGTCCAAGGGACCCCCAGAGCCTCCCCCCGAGGATGGTCACCCAGATTGCCCCTCATAGCCTACACGACATAGCTTGCACCACATACATTCCCAGGCCACAAGTGATTCCTATTGCGTGGACAATCATGGACCCAGTTGGATCCCATACCTTGAGTGCGAAAGCCACGTGAGTTCAATTTGTCGCACGTCTGGGTCCATCTTTTTGGCATTTTCCCCAGGGACAAACGTGCACCACATGAATCAACTGACACAACTAAGTAATTATATTCACGGATCCTTGGACTTGCAGGCGGCCAGTGCTGTGATTACACCGGGGCGCTACAGCATGCAAATGGTTGGGGGGGGCACCGCATGCATTGTTCTTGCGGTTGCTGTTTGGGCTCGGGTGTGGCGTTGAAAGAAAAAACAGCCTGTAGCGACGCTGGTCTGCAGACGGACGGTCCATTTTGAGCATCTGCTGGAACGCTGTCAGCAGAGCGCGCTGGCCACGCCTTGAACCAAAAATGCCTTTGGAATGGGGGGCACCTTGGCATTGGCATGACGAATAGGCGAGTGTAGGTCGATATCGGACATCGCCGGGATATCATTTGTATGTCGGCACTGTGAGTGCCACTCCCCATACTATGATTGCACTTGCCAGCTAGCGCATGTGTCTTCAGGCTTGCGCATGTGCATGAGCCTGCACCTGTGTACATGCAGCAGCACGCGTACTGCTGCAACGACAAAGAAAACGTACGCATTGCGTGGGGTATACGTGCGACTGTATAGCCGCATTGCGTACACGAAGGCATGCGGACGCACATGTAAATTCGAACATGCGCGAACATGTGGCGGGTTCAATTAGACCTGAACCAAACATCCGTGCCATCTCTTGGAAGGCCGGAATGCACTTCCGCCGCCTTCCGCTGGCCGTCCGCCGCGTTATGCCGAGGAAGAGACAA